TGCGTGTTGGAAAGAGTCGTGGATTTCCTGGAATGCTAGGATCCTTAGACTGCTGCCATTGGACATGGAAGAATTGCCCTACAGCATGGGCCGGCCAGTTTCGCGGAAAAGAGAAAAAAAACCAACAATCGTCCTGGAAGCAGTAGCAAGTTACGATCTTTGGATCTGGCATGCCTTTTTTGGGATGCCAGGTTCAAATAATGACATTAATGTTCTTGACCGCTCTCCATTATTCTCGGAGATATACAATGGCAGAGCTCCACTTGCTAAATACACAGTAAACGGGCGACAATACAGCGTTGGCTACTATCTTGCAGATGGTATTTACCCACCACTAGCAACATTGGTACAGACAATTTCTTCTCCAGTTGGACTAAAAAAGAAGGTAACAAGGATTTTTTTAATATAATTTTATCAAAGAAAAATTAGACTCTGATACATCTGATACATGTTATTTTCTCATATTCTCAGCACTACGCACAAATGCAGGAGTCTGTCCGGAAGGATGTCGAGCGAGCGTTTGGTGTATTGATGTCGCGGTTCGCAATCATTAAAACACCGACTAGGCTCTGGCAAAAAGATGTCTTGGAATCAATAATTACAGCTTGCATTATTATCCATAACATGATCATTGAAAATGAAAAAGATGATCCAACGATCTGTGAAGCGAACCCTGAAAGCAACATCGATGAAATTACAGCTGACATCCATCGGATAGGTCCAGAAAATCAGGAGAAATTTGAGACATTTTTGTCGCGGTACAAAGCTGTTCATGATACTAACCAGCACTTTCAATTGAGGAATGACCTAATAGAGCATCTATGGGCAATGAAAGGAGAAGAAGATGAGGAAGAAGATTAAAGTGATGAATTTTCAGGTTTCAAATATGTTCCAGTAATCTACACTACAGCTTCAATAAAAACTAGAGTATAAATTCTGGTAAAAATAAAGCAATGTGGATTGATAAATACCACTACAGTCTGGTCTCCCAAACTCGATAATGAATATGGGGTTATTAAACTTGGCAAAGTATGAGCATGTACTCTTGAAGATGGTATCGTCCCTGCCAGGTTCAAGTTCATTTTCTATAACATTACATCTTCCGTAAAGCTGGGTTTAGATAGGGCAAGTCAGTTGAATTCAACTGACTTGAATGCGAATTGAACGTGTAAACCATGCCATTCAACTGACTTGATCAACTCACTTGAATTGAAAAAAGTTGAACCAGGCTCAACTTTTCAAGCCAATTGAATTCAACTGAGTTGATCAATTGACTTGCCTTGTCTCAACTCAGCTTAACTCGATATCCTCCCTAATTGAATTGTGGCTTCAGTATTAAAGTGTCGAATGTATTGAGGAGCATCCATTAATTGCGTCATGCGAGATTGAGGTAAAATTAATCCCCCCCCCCCCCCTGCTCGGGGTCCACAGCAAAGTTTTTCTCCCGGCAGATTTCTGCAAACATTTGCTGGATTCTGCCATACAATGTTTCTGCCTTCTGATTTGTTCCTGTGATGGGGTCCTGGGACACATCCAACCACGCGAGACAAAGCGCCGTATCTTCTTCGGATGTCCAGCTTTTTCCTCTTGCTTTGGTATTCATCCTCAAAAAAAAATGAAATTTAATGCACTGCGAAACAAATCGAAACGTCAACTTAACCACGAAACGTAAACAGAAAAAGTGCGAAGCAGAGCAGCAGTGTCACAAGCAAACAAAATAGCGACCCAGTGCAGAGTTTTAGTGGGGCGCCAAATATGAAAACTCATAACTTGTTTTGTTGCGTTCTCATTTCCCAACCCCGTTTAGCTACTACCGGTGCGGGCATAAGTTGCTATATGGGGCTCGAAAATAGAGATAGGGACCCGTATGGGGACTCCCGTGGCGGTGCTCTAAATAAACTGAAATTAAAATTTATCACTCGCGATGCCACTAATTTCTGGTCCGGGAGAAAATCAAATAACGCAGATTGCGACATCTCTTCTGATGCTTGCAAACATGTTGAATCGCGTTTTCTTTCTCTATTCTAAAACTTCCCGGAAAGCGAGAAAACTATCAATCACACACGTTAAACGTCCGGAAGGCAGAGCGCCAGCGCTAATCCGGCAAATACAGCCGAAAACTATGAACGCGACCGCACGCACAAAACAGAGAACAAACTTAAAACAACCGTATCCAAAGGCGTTCGAAACTGCACTCCAATCTAGGTTCTATTTAGGGTTATATCTGAAAAATCCAAATCTGGCCAACGCCCACTCCGGTTTTACTGAAAGAAACCAATATCTTAAAAATCAGTATCGCTGTGTCATTCACCTAATGAAAGCTTAGAGTTTTTTCTTTCATTTGAGGCTAATTTCTAAATGTTCTAGCTTACGCGTGAATCCCATACCAACTCTTTCCAGGAATTTGTATGGGAAAATGACCCCCGATATAACATTTTGAAACCAAATGAAAGGGTACTTCAGCTTTCATTGGAAGGGTATGTCAGCGATAAGAAAGATTGATCATCGGAGATGCTTGATCCCTCCTTAGTTTCTCGAAATCCTGAGTAGACTTTTTTCAGGTAAGTTTTTACAAATTATCGTCTAGACGGAATGAAATATTATGGTTACATTTGTGTCAGATATGGTTGAAAACAGTTGGTGTATTTTAACTTCTTTTTTCCTTTTGTTTTTTTTTTTAATTCTTTATTCACGCTTGTGACAATGAAAATTAGGTTCTTTAATTTTGAAAAATTTATCGGTTTTTATATATCATCTGAAAGAGCTTCGTTTTCTGAGCACAGCGATATTTTTTTTCAACCCATGCACTTTCATCTCGATTTTTAAATCATGATTTAAAGCAAAATAATAACTTTACTGTTTGACACTAAACTGACAAACTGACAGCTCGCTCCCATACAAAGTGACACCGAGGGGCGCTAATTAGGTGATTTTTGCAAATGTAATCGTACTTATTTAAAATAGTTCCAGTGTGCCAAAATTGATGAAATTTTGGGTTTGGGTTCCATTTTTAATGCAGATTACGAATATGCATTTACCTCAATACCCTAAAAGAACCCAATTACACAATATTTTCGACGTGGTTGTAGTAAAAGCTAGAGTGAAAGCAGCGCAATATCTTTTGTTGATGATGTATAGTACAACTTTTAAGGTCCAAACACACTGTGGGTGTTAGCAGAATGGAAACGGACAGTTCAAAATTTATCACAAATGACATCAGGATGTTTAATCGAAGTCTATTCGAAGGTTCAAGCTGTTTTTATATCAGACGAGATTTATTTTTGCATTATTAGCGTGTTTGTTAGTCGAAGGTTAGTTGATCACGACAATCCGATAAAAAAAAACTTGTACTCAAATCGGGCTGCTGCTGACACGCGGCACGTATCCGGCGCGTAAAAAACGACTCCAGTGTAGTCTACTGGATGTTCTTGCACAGATGAAAGTTAGTCTGAGCAACGAGGGCACTTTCCGCAAAGATGATCGGGAATTTATTATAGACGTCACTTTCTACAGTCCGTCGCTGGTGTCAAATATGAACAGCAGTTTGCGAAAGGTACAACCATACTGACCAGCAGGTGATCCAGTACAAAATCGGCCAACGGAATACTGTGGCAACACGGAGGACATGAACTAGCGAGCGAAATTGGAAGACGAAGACATTCGACAAGGATCTCTTTGTCAAGCATTCCATATAGAAATGTGGCCCCTCGGATCAGAACGCGGAGGAGTTGACAGAAGCTTTATCGAGGGTTTGTGAGGATTTTTTTTAGTATCGGGATTTCATAATTGTTTTTTTTTTAGATTTTGATTATATGAACGAGCGGTGCCGGTGGTGTAGTGGTAAGCGTGATTACCTCTCACCCCAGCAGGCCTGGGTTCAATCCCAGTCGGCGCCACTGGGATGTTCTGAGGTATAACATCTCTGATCACATCTTCCTTCGGAAGGGAAGTAAAGCCGGTGGTCCCGCTTCATGAGTTGATGGGTCGATAGTTAGGGTCCAGGTGTGGGAGCTGCCTCTCTGGTGTCGGTAGCATTGGTGCTCAGCACGGAAAACAAGATCCACGGAAAACGAATCAAGGAAAAAGACGATTAATTTTTCCGGAAAATTTTAGATTACGTTTTCGGACTTTCCCGGACGGACATCATGTACTTTGAAAATTCATAATTTTGAACCAAACATCGTAGAAAGAACGTGTAGTAAAATAATAAGCATATTCAATAAAAAATATATTCTGAAAAAAAAATCCCCGAAAGTTTTCAGTACTCGCAAAGACAATCAGGAAAAACACTTGTCAGGGTAATGGTTTTTTCATACTCCAATACTGCGAGAAGGCAGCCATTACGGCGATAGCTAGAATCAGCCGAACAACTATGGACCAAGCAGTAGCAAAAGGCGTCTTCTTACTAGTGTAAAAAAATATCATAACAGCAAATTTTGACTCCAATTTGATCTCCAGCTTTGCTCGGGTAGGCCGATGCTCTCAACCTGGGTGAATAGAAAGCAAAAATATTGACAGAAATATTGTCAAAACTTCTTTTGTTTGGGGTTCACTTGATGTCCGCTGTATATTAATGGAATGTAAGGTAACATTTATCAGAGGGTGACGACTCTATCTACGATGCAGGAAAGATTTTTTTTTGGAGTAGTAGATAGAAGTAGATAGAAAGAAGATTGATGACGGTTCTGAAGATTTCCTGCAAAAAGATGATGCGCGATGCAAGTAGATGCGAAAAATTAAAGTAGATTTTTTGTATAATAATTTGCTAGTGTGAGATTTTTCGAGCATCTAGAATTGAGATTTAGATGTGACGCCCCCTCGCATTTATCATACGATTATTTCCATAACCAGTATGTATATTGATGGATGTAGCGTTTGCTTTATGTGTAATATAAACAATAATATAGCCAAGTCAATAATATTAAAGGTAATAATGGTAATAATATTACATATTGTCAACATATCGACGTGTGTAACTATGATTTATATGCCGCTCATACTTATGTAATCGCCTTCTTTCTCAATTAACGATTGAATGTAGAGTAGTATGAAATTTATAGCCTTGGTCCAGTTCTTTTGACGATATGGTACATTCTGCAGTGAAACAAATACATCCACTGTGTATTTCAAAGATTTTTCTGCCCAGACAATACAATCCTAAAAAAAAAAGAAAAAAAAAAGGTTATTACAGTTCTATCCGCACTCTTTTTATGTTTGGCATTCATGAATAAAGCAAAAGGAAAAGTTGACTTCCTCGTTGATGATAGTCGTAGTAAGCCACTAGAGCGGGAGTACCCAATTTGGTATAACAGCGGTTTGTAGAATCTTCCATATAAAAAATTGCAAGAAGCTTAAATCCGGGAGCTAGAAGGTGACAGCTCTATTGCAACTCCATAAGCCCATTTCAAGAACGCTAGATTTCCGAAGATATTTTCGTTTACAATAAGCCCCGCTCCAATACATTTCAATGTGGGAATCATTAATAATGTATTGGAACTTTCAATCAAGCTGTATTGCTTGATTTACGTGTATTTAATGAGTTGGAAATGTTTGGCCGTCCGACACAATCCGCACACTGTGGATCTCGATTCAGGAAATTCAAGTATCCGTTCGTCACCAATATCACTTTACTGTTAAAAAAATCCGGAACAAAGCAAAATCCAAAAACGACGTATACAATTCCGTAATGACAGAAATGTGTAAAATCGATAAAGGCTTTGTTAGAAACCAAACTAACATTAGATTGAATCCAACAGAGTTCGTTACCAGCATAATGCGCAGACCTGGATTTTCCGCTGTAGTTCATTTTCATTTTCATTTTCATTTTCAAGCACAGAAGGGGGTTATAGGGCCAAGTCACCAGCGAAAAATCGCTGTCCATACTGCACCAGGGTAGAGGTATAGATTTGGCATCACAGAATAATAACCACAGGGGTCAAATGAATCCTGTTTACGATACCGGATAGTAAGGAAAGCTGTTGAACATAGGGGATAGTCAGAGTAACAGCAATAATAGTGAAAGTTAGGAAAATAAGCAGGTAGAGATGGTTGATTTGCAATGGCTATCGACTCTGTTATATGGCCAATCGTATCAGATTCAAATTTAATGTCGTTTAATATTGCGCTTATTACTTTTATCTTTATTCTAAGCAATCTCCTTTCATACTTGTTTGTTTTAAAGTGAACTGGATGAAATGATTGTTTTATCAAAATTATGTTAAAGTTAACTACTATTCATATTTGCTTATTAATACCTAAATGTAATTTTTAATTTTATGAAGATAAGTTGCTCAGAATAGCAGCCTGTAATTCCGTACCAGAATCCGCCTCCAATTTAATGTCTTTTGTGGATTAGTAGTAGCAAAGTTGTGCTAAAAGCTAAATAGTTACCTAAAAATACTACCTAAATCGTTCACAATCAGAGCCGGGCCACTGATGAAAACCAAAACTACAACCCTGAAAAAACGAATCGATATTTTCGAAGGCGAACACAACCTATTCTTGCTAGTGATTCTGTCCAATTGTTAGGTATCCAAATTATAGTCATTCGTAAATTTATTATTGAATATATGGATGAATTATCTATTATTGAATAACTATTATTTACGATAATTACATTAAAGAAATAACATATAAACTACAAACAAAACGTGACTACTAAAATCTCAAAAAGATATTCTCACAAGTATATTTCACGCAACCAGGAATCTCAAAACCATTAGACGCTATAATGATACTCTGCACATGTTAGACACAAGAAAAGGCCAAAAAGCAAGCGTCCGACACACAAAACCCGCCAAATCCACTGGCAGTAACAATCAACGATTCTACGAATCGCGAGCGCTCACGAATCATAAAACCGCTGACTGCGACACTCTGAAAGCGAAATTAACAGGCTTTATGCGTCAAACACCCGCCCTCCAATCTCCTCCCGCATCCAACAACACAAACCTCCATTACAACATCTAACGAATTCAAAACTCCGAAAATCACTCATCTATAGAAAGTGAGTGGAAGCAACCCTGCATGCAACTATTCTTCATGATACGCTTTGTATGTCTATCTTTCTATTAGGCCTGTGGACATGTGTTAGCTTCGAAACTTCTAACCAAACTAGGAAAATTTTGAAATCACAAAAAAAAAATTCAAAGGTAATTACAAGCAAAATACATATTGATTATTTTACGCAAAACCGAGCAAGTAATATTAAATCTCTTGTATTGTATGCTAATGCTAATTGACTGTAACAAAAATAATATGCTTAAATAAATAAAATATTAATAAAATGATATGCAAAATTTACTAGAAGGTCATTACTTTATTGGTGAGAAGTTTCTAATAAGCCCTCCCAGTTCCTCTGTATACAGAACAAATCTGATACTATAATCAGAATTGCTCAGTCTGCATGAAGCAGCCGATTGCATCAAGGAAGTTCTATTAAGAACCAAGAATTAATCGTTTGAGGTATACTGAAGCATTAAGAAGGTGATATGTGTCACTATGGGAAATCATCATCGTTGCAAATATAAAGAAATTAAACATAACCCTTTGCTTCAGTACCGTCAACCTCCATGTCCATGGGGAGGGGACCTGGATTTTCCGCTGTAGTTGCAGGCGAAATATTACACGGCTTAGAATGCAAACCGGTTTACGTTAAGCCATTTGCATCTGATAGATGCTATCAGGAATTACCAGTAAAGTACACAGCAAAAAAATAATTTTGATATCACATCAAAGTGGATGCACTACAATCATGTCGAAAATTTCATGTAATTTTTATGACCACATAAATAAACAAATGCAGTAAAAGCAGCGTAATGTCAGTTCATGCATTGTATTAATGATAATTTTGTCCTTTTTAGCAAGTAATATTACACCATATTTTCGACATGATTGTAGTGCATCCACTTTGACGTGATATCAAAATTATGTTTTTGCTGTGTACGGCAACACAACAATGTTTCTAACACCAGTTACCCGTACACTGCAGCTGAAATCAAACAGAAATCGAATGCACACCATTGTTTCCAGCTAAATTTCATTTCGGCGGAAGATGGTACACAATTGATGGAAAATTACGAGAGTCAGTTCCACCACAAACACTAACAACAGATATAGTAACTAAATGGAACTATACGCCGTTACCCAATCTAATGGAAAGCGGAGTATATGACGCAGAAAGTCTTCAGAAAATGAGAACCATGATATATGATCAAGGAGATAGCAGGATTGCTTCAAACATCATACACAAAATACTGTCAGGACACAGTCCAAGCAAGCAAGGTTTTACTTCGACGCCCTGGTATCAGAGAAACTCATCGACAATGTCATCAACAAGTACTGGACTAAGTTAATTTCCTGGTATACATGGCTAGGTAATTTGAACTCAACGGCAATTGGACTTTACATAATCGGACAAAGCATAAAATTCATCATTGATACATTGATGCACGGAAGGATTCTTTACGACATCTATGGACTCGGATGGCAGCTGCTTGCGTCATTCTGGGACTCGATGACATCGTTCCTGACTCACCGGAATACCCTTAAGACGATTCGGAAGACAGCGACCAATACATATAATAATAAGATGAGCCAAGAACCAACCGGTTCAGCAGACGAGACGACACCAGCAGAAGACAATGAAAATACAGTTTCCCCATACCGGGAAAGTTTGTACCCAAAAACAGAAAAAAAGTTGTTGAATATTACATCCAAACTGCTGCACCAAGGTCAATCCATCGGTTGTGTAATATAACTTTTTTTTTATTATTATGGTCACACAAAAGTGTTAGGGTCATTCGTGACTTCTCCGGGAGTGAGATTTGAACTCGTGACTTTGGCGTGAGAGGTATGGATGTTAACCACTACGCCGGGGTCGTCCCCAGTGTAATATAACGTTGTACGATGTACATCTATTTTGCAAACAAAATTACATCCATTGATGTAATATTGTATCTGCTTTTTGCTTTTACATCATTATTTCATACATCAGCTTGAATTACATTGATCGATATTACATTTTTTTTGCTGTGAACATTTCGACGGTTTTTACCATTAAAAGTGTTATAAAAAAAATAAGAATATAAATATATAATTAATCAAATAAATATTCGAGTTGATCGATAGCTCTCGTTTCGTACGGTCGCAATCGTTTCTCATTTTACTTTGCGGAGTACTTATATATAGTTCTTTAAATCGCTTTTTGAGTAGTAAACAGTTATTCCCATCTACCCGGGATTGTTTCGGAACAGGCCGGATAGATGGGAAGTTTCTAGTGATTGAACCCCAAAAAGAACCATCCGCAAGAGTTATTTTGTTGTGATACAACGGAAAAGACAATCGGCTATTATCAGTGCCCTATTTGCCGACGAATTAGTGTGTGCGTGTGTAGTTACGAAAAAGACTTTTCTACTGTTCGTTCGCATCTTTCTGGAATACTGCTGTTCGTACCTATTCGTCACGGTATCGCTGCTCATTTGTGCATTAAGGTAATACGGCACGTCATGCAATAATGGCTGTCCCTACAATCATTAAATAAACGTGTTTTGGTATGCGTACGAAAGACATCTTCCTACAAAACAGTAAATTACTAATTACATACCTTAAAAAATGGGTCTGAATTGTATGAATAAGATCTGGATACATATTTCAATACTTTTCAACCAAAATATTGCCAATTCACGCAATAGCAATATTTGCATTAAAAAGTACAATCAGTCAATTTTGTTCTGCTCAGGGGATGAAATTTCAATAACTGTTTTCACTAGCTTTCACTTTTTAGAACCACACTAAAAACAATTACGACACGTGCTTCTACAAGCACTTTCAAGTTTATTCACTTTTAAAGACGACATTTACTTAAATAATATCATTTGCATCGTTAAAAATGCGTGCCGCGAATAATTTTGCAAGCTGAAACTGTTTTGTTTACCTTTTTTCTACACACCGCATTACGGTGTGTGTCCGAATCAACTATCATCGTATCCAGTGTTGTCGATTTAATTGAAACAAAGTGTGTAAAAACAATGCTTTTATTGCTTTTTAAGGTGCTTAAACTGTGTTCAATTCAGAAACCATCACTAATAAATGTTTAAAACAATTTCTGATTTTGTTTCTCAAGACAAAAAATGAAAGTAAATGAACCTAGAAATCTT